ATATATATATATATATATATATATATTATTTTATAGGAAATATTTTTTTAAAATTTTTATCCAATTAAATATGAAAAAAAGATAAGAAAGTAGTTCATATGTTTCTTTTAATTGTCCACTTTTGAATAAACACATCTATTAAGAAAATAATTAATGACATAGTAAGTTTATCATTTTTCCTTTATTAATTATGAAATGGATGTAAATTTCTATATTTTTCAAAATAATTAATTATTTAATTATGGATATAATAGATAAAAAAAATTATCTTTTTTAATTTATCAAAATAAATAAATAATTAGAGCTAAATATAAAAAAATAGATAAATAATTAGAAATAGAGGCACTAATTTTTAAAAAATATTCATTACTCAAATAGAGCAAGTAACTATTTTAGGAATTGAAGTCCAAAGAGAGAGAAAAAAATATCTTACTTTTGAATTGGTATCCTGAGAATGACGAGCACTTCGAGAGACTAAGGGCGTTTATATTCGGATAAAAAATGATTCAAATGGAAAAAAATAAATAAAAATACTTAGATAGATAGATGTATTTGGTTTATTTTATTATATTTATACATATATAATATATTATTTTTTATAAATAATTTTAAATATCTCTTTCGTTTAGGCTAAAATAGTGAATTTTATTCACAAACAAGTCAGTATTAAAAAGTTTTGTAATGTCATTTATTCTAGCGATTTTCGTTTTGAATGAATTTTTGACTTTTTTCCTATTTCAAATGAATTAATTTTTTTAATTTTTGTGTCAATTATCAAATAGCCAAGCCAAATCAAAATGAAACTTATAATAACTAAATCGATAAATATATAATACATTTAATTTCAAATAATTTAAAAACTAATTAAATTAAGGGTAACTTTCACATATAACAAATAAAAAATTTATATTTATATGTTATAGCAAAGTTTGCATAATTGCGCTCCATAGCAAACATAGAAAATGTATAATTCGCTAGACATATACAGTTGAAGCAAATTGTATAAAACAAAGTGTATAAAACAAGAAAGAGAAAGACACTTGGGCAGAGAACTGTATAAAAACGAAGTGTATAAAACGAATTGTATTATTATAAGTGTATAGATCGATTATATACAATTTGAATTTGTATAAAATGAGAAAGACAAAAGAGACTTGACAAAGAATATACAATTGAATTGAATTGTATAAAATGAGAAAGAAAGAAATTAGATACAATTTGAAAATTGTAAAAACGAGAAAGAGAGAAAGACAAAAGAAACTGGGCAGGGGAGTATTTTTATTGTATAATTATAAGTGTATACGACGAAAATATATGTACTTGCATGTGTATATATAATTTTCTCACGCTTTATACAAACAGAAACATAATTTATACATTTCGCTTCTGTTTGTATAAGTGAAAAAGGCGAGGATGGCGGGCGAGATTTGGGAGAGTTGCGAGCGAGATCTGGAAGAGGGAGAGTGGGGAACAAAAATATATGTATTTATACAATTTTCTCTGCTTTATACAATTAGAAACAATTTTTATATACTTGTGTTTGTATAAAAAGTGAGGAAGCGAGCGAGAGATTGAAAGAGAGTGGCGAGCGAGATATTTGGGAAAGAGGCGCCTGACAATTTTTTGCAAGCGTTTGCTATGGAGCACAATTAAATCAAACCCCAGTTACTCTATTTATTTTAGATTGTTAGTTTGCTATACTCCATTTATTTTAGATTATTAATTTGCTATTATATACAATTTTCCCTTAATCAACCCATAATCATCCCTACCCAAAAGTTATTCCCAAGAGGAAAATGATATAGTTATGGTGGCACTTTTGAAAATGTGAAGCTTTACAAGGTTGAACTTTTTAAAAAACAGAATATATAGTAGTGGTAAGGAGAAGACACTTAAAAAGTTGACACTAATAGAGTTGTTTCGAAATAACATTTGCAAATTCAAAATTTAAAATTTATACGCATATCTCTTTTAACACTAATATAAAATTGCGATACTATGTGAAATATCAAAAATAATTAGATATCCGTCTATTTATTTACCTTCCACGCTTGCATGCAGGGTTCTTTCTCTTAGACAATTTATTTCCAAAATTTCATGCCAAATATCTACACAAGACAAGGTTAGAGTTCGAATTTCCTTTGAGTACACAAAGATAATTATCCAATACTTTACGATTTATCTTTTTGATAAATTTATAATCGATTTCAATATAAATTGCATTGCAGCAATAATCTGCAGATCGAATTATAGTATGACGGAAGGTAGCAGCAAGAAGCAAAGATGTGATAGAGTTGTAGCAAGTCATGACTTGAACAGAAAGCCAAGGTTTAGATGGACAGTGGAACTTCATGAGATGTTTGTTAAAGCTGTTAATGAGCTAGGAGGTCCTTATGGTTCGTCGTTATATATTATATATTTATACAGAATCGAATTCAAAATTTAAATTTTAACGAATATCTATGTCGTTGTTATTGAAAATTGTCATGAGCAGATGCAACACCGAAGAATATTGTGAAACTCATGGATGATGAAGATATCACACCAGAACATATCAAAAGCCATCTTCAAGTAAGTAAACCTCTTTATGCATGTGTTTTCAGTTTTCTTTTTTTAAGTATTAGATTTCTAAGATTAATAGATTATATGGAGCATGAGTGTATTTGAACGGGTTGGTTCGGACTTTTAAATTATCAAATCAAATTATTTGTGTCGGATTTTTGAATTTATAAATCAAATCAATACAGTTCTGATTTTTTGGATTTTTGAGTTTTTTCGGGGGGTTTCCATGAAGAATTCATACAAAAACATATAATTTACTTCTACTTCAAATCTACCAAAGTGCAATTATCTAAGGTGTTTTTTTAAGAAAATAACACAAAATATGATATGATAATGACACTAAAATATCCAACAAAATATGATAATGAAATCGCATAAAACAATTATTGCAAATTAATAAGTCATAATGAGATTGATTGTAATTTAAAATTATTAAATCATGCTAAATAAGTGTGATAAGTATTAATTACATGACTGAATATTAAAAGATAGTAAAATTAGATTATGTCTTTTAATTGTCTAAATCTATATAAAACTCAAAAATCAATATTTATTAATACTGTCATTCTTAGTGTTGAATTGATTTTCTTTCTCCATTTGTATTAGTTTGATTTTGATTTAATCTTTATTATAATTATGGACAATAATTTTTATTGGATCATTAAGAATTCTAAATTCCAAACATGAAATAAATATTAAAAATAAAAACTATGAAAAAATAAAAGAAATATTTTAAAATTATATCAAAGTAAATATTTTTATGTATAAAATCAAATTGTAAAATTATATGTATGTAATGTCGGATTAATTTAATGTCGAATTGGTATTTTTTTAGTTGAAACCAAATCAATCCAAATATAATTATTTTCTTTTCTAACCCCAAACCAAACTACTAGTCAATTTTTTTTATTTGATTCGATTTTCGTTTCATTTTGTACACCCTAATATGGAGTGTAAGATTGAAAACATGAACGAGAGGGAGGAATTTTTAGTGTGCTTAGGGGGTTCAATGAGAACGAGGAAAAAATAGTTTTTTTTAACGATTTATGAATTTGAATAAAAGTAGATTGTTATGAAATTATATAAATTTAGAAGAAGAAGAAAGTAGGGAGAAGAGAAAAGACTTCTTATTTCTTTTGAAGTATATTTAGGATTCATAGATCTTTTATCAATCTTCTTTACAATGAAGGAAAACTCTTTATTTATAAGGAAAACCTTACTTGGTCCCCAAGTAGGATTCCTAATCATATCCTACTAGGACTCCACATAATTAGACATTCACTATAATACAAATTGTTTATAACACTCCCCCTTGAATGTCGATAGATTATGTGCCTCGTTAAAACCTTACTAGATAAAACCCAGTGGGAAAAAAATCTAGTGAAGGAAAAAGAGTACACATATCTAATAATACGCATTATGGATGCCTCATTGAAAATCTTACAAGGAAAACCCAATGGGACAAAACCTTGTGAGAAGTACATCGCGTATTAACTCCCCCTTATGAGAACATCAATTCAGAGACTAGAATCTTCGTTTTCCAAGCTTGTGCATCATCTTTTTGAAAGTTGTAGTTGATAGAGACTTGGTGAATAAATCAACAATATTGTTACTTGAATATACCTCTTGCTTGTTGATATCACCATTCTTGGGAGCTCATGAGTAGAAAAATTTTGACGAAATATGTTTTCTTCTATTTACTTTTATTAATCTTTCCTTCAAGATCAAAGATTTCTGCAAGTTCCTTACTTTAACTTCTTTAAACAAATAATCTATTGCCTTTTGAAAACTCTTCAAGAGTTTCAATTCTAGTTATCAACTTGCACAACAATATTTGTATATGCTTCATGCATTTTGAATCGATTTAATTCTTATAAAGATTATAAACAAGTTCTCCAAAAACTTGCACATACTTTAAATTTTGAATCCTTCATGACTTTTCATATTAATTTTGTCAAGTGAGAACATTCAATATTAAATGTATGATATGTTCTAGTGACTAGATTGCAAGTCAAATAAGCTTTACTGCTTACCAAGATGCATCATTCCACTTTTCACTTGATAATTATTTCTATACAAGTATGTTTTAATAGATGTAGAATTCATATCCTCATAATCTTTTACAATATTGCGCGCTATTGTATCAAAGATATCGTCAACGATACATCATTTTGTATCGATTCACAATACGACAAAACTTATTGAGATCTCATCACTTCATTATTTTTAGGTAGCTAACCCTCTCATGAGGTTTCATAAAGTGTTATGTCGTAGGCTCTCCAAGAGCACATTGTCTCCTTACTATGATCATTTTGATTCTTTGATCCTCCCCTTTTTTCAAGGATTATTTTATTCAGAATTGATAAGTCTATCATGCTTCATGTATGTCATAGACTTTATCCTTAAGGGACATTCAATAGGAGTATTTACAACTTTTGTGTTGCTTCTAATCTCCGCCTTATGTTAGACAACCTAACATATATCTCAATCTTTTGAAGAATCTATCTTTGTGCATCGTAGTATATTCATTAATCATATATTGCACATCAAAATTATCAGAAGAAAACTATTTGGTCCCTTACCATAAACCAATTAACAGAAAAATTGATCATAACTTATTGGTTTGATTCATACAATTATGTTTGTATATAATATCATATTTCAGATCAACACATGAAACTTTATTTTCATAAGCAATGATTCACTATGTGAGACATTTAGTGTCACATCATCTTGAGTATTTATCAATATTACCAAGATAAATTGTCTTGATTACATATTTTGAAATTGTGCTCTTAACTCAATTATTTTTGCACAAACAATTTTGTGAACGTCAAACTACTGGTTGACAACAAAGGCACATGTGATTATCTTATTGATGCATCTTTTTATCATATCACATGATAGGTAAATGGACTCATATTCACCTTTTATATTTTTCAGAATTTAGGGATTTAGTCCTAACTTTAGTTGATCCAATCAACTTTATCACGAGAACAAGCAGCGTAAAGAATTCTGAAAGAATCTTCATTTTTTCAATATATGTCCATTACTCAGTATGCACATCTTTGGGATGACCAAATTATTCATGCCAACTAATAGAATTAGTAGTACTCGTAAACTCCAAGTTTACTATGCCATGTGCCTTTTGCTTTAGTAAATTTATGATTTACTATTTTATGAGTAAATTTCAATTTATTTCTCCAAGAGTAATTTTTAGATTTATTACTTCACAATTACTTTACCCTTTAGGTGAGTCGTGATTCCATTATTGAATGAACTAACTGAAGAAAATTGTGCATGTAAAATATTATTTGTGCCAACATTTTTACAAACATCAAGTTGCGAGATAATAATAGGCACACATGAGACCATTGTCACGCCACTTTTTTTTCTCTTAAATTTTATTTTTTAATTTTTTATTTTCATTTTAATTGTTTGAAAGAAAAAGAGTTTTTCCAATTAAAATGACGTTTTGAAAAGGGATAATTATTATTTAGAGTCGCCACTTGGAATTGAGTTTTGGTGTTCCAAGACACCTTATTTAAATCCCTAATCAAAAGGAAATTTGACTCTATTTTTATTGGTTTGCGAACTAGAAATCCGGGTAAGGAATTCTGTTGACCGAGGGGAAGGTGTTAGGCACCCCTCGAATTCCGTGGTTCTAGCACGGTCGCTTTATTAACTTTAGTATGACTTAACTTAATTTTTTGGACATTATATTATTTAATTAATAATAAAATTGTTATTACCCTTAAATTTATTTTAAACTTATTAGAAATTGACTTATTTATTTTAAATTG